TGAAGGGTTCCACAGGCTAGCCATCACGGCATCTTGGCCCAACTATCCCCCTTCAAACAACTTCTCGAAGAGCAGCCACCCGTCTTTCCAGCGTCAAGGCTCCGAGCTCCTGAGCAGGGCAAACCACGCTTTCGTCGGAATATGAGCCCTTTGGAAAACCGTGATCTTCTCCAGGACCGAGGGGAAAGTAGCAGCAATGTTGAAAACAAGGTCACGTTGGCTTTTGGACAAATGTATAAGCAGCTGCATACTTGAAATCTCTTGTATATATATTTCCATCACCCGTTGGTTCAGCCATCTGCCCCGACGTCTGACTAGTTCAGAATCTTCACAAGTGTGCATCATCCATGTGGCTCCACCGGGTCTTAGCGACCCTAAGTCCAATGTCTTGGGACATCGAATGGACGCTGCATCCAAATGAAGCACTTTAAGTATATCAGAAAACCTATGTCTGAGCGTCTGGTCTGAAAAAGGCCACAATCTCTGGTGGCCTTCCAACTGTTGAAAAGCTGTCTCAACAAGAGATAAAAGGTCCGGGATGTCCAATTTCGCCGATTGATGTCTTGCCGACACAAAACGTGTCTTAGGCTCTCTCAAGGCCAGCAAAGCATAACGGTTGGAGAAAAAGGTGTCACTGGGCAGAAGGAGATCACTGCGAAGAGCATGGGTCATTTCGCTCGTTCGCAAAAGTGCGCCCCACCCCAGGGCTAACAATCCGGCTACGTTCAACCATCCCCACGAAAGCGCTATAGACAGCATGGCCAAAAGTATTTGGAAAGGCATTGCTATATGGTGAACAGGTCTTTCTTCACGAACCCAACTAAAAGCCATATCCCAGGAAGCTTGTAACTGACGTCTCCAAATAGGTTTAAAGCTAGCAACACTGTTGATGGTTTCGACATAATGCGAGTACGTCTTTCCGGCCTCATAGAGTCTTCTGCCATATGCCAAAAGAATCTCGTTAATCTTCTCGACAAAGAGGGCAGGTTCATCCAGAATGGGCTTCATCGCAAAGCCAGCAAATTCACACCATTCCAAGAAACTCTGTAGGAGCCGCTCGCGGTTCTTGCTAGTCACGTCAGTCACGGGCCTCCCTTTCGGCAGTGGTGGCCTGTTCACCCGAAGCTGGGCCCTCTTCCAGTCACCAGGTGTCCTCGGACCTAGCATTCCATGGCTCTCCATCGCCCCAACTACCCTAAGTCCGCTGAGCGAGAAGGAAGGGGAGGAGCAAAAGAGGAAAAGCCAAAGGCGGAAGAAAGGGAGGAAGGACGGGCCTCTGGTAGGGCCCTCACCTGGAAATCCAAGACTGGAGTCGAAATCAATCGAGCACGAGGCACTGTTCAAGCGATGCCGAAGACCGTAAGGCAAGCTGCCCTTTGATGACCAAAAGATTGCATGGCGCCGCCGATCTGAAGAGCATGAGGCAAGCAGAGTAAATCCACAAAGCCCAAGAGAAAATCTGACCCAGTTCGAAGCCCATCGCCTCAACGGCGGAAGATTCAGAAGTGCTCGCACCTGCGCGTCTGTTGCTTCTGAGAGCGGGATCTTCGATGAAGGTGTCCTGACATTTCTCCCCCTCGTAGGATCGTCCGAAGTGTTAAACCTCGTAGGGACGAAGGGCAGCGTGAAGTAAAGGTCCCCTGCCAGACAAGCGGCATTGTACTTCAGGAGCAAGGTAGACAAAGCCTCTGAGGAAGATCTACCCTTTGCCGCTGCACATCTGATGACATTTGAATCAACAAGGTTCACAACCCTCAACGACGTAGGTGCTCTAGCCTTCTTCTCAGCAAGTCGTAGGAGAGAGGACATCTCGAGCAGATTTATATGCCTTCTGTTTGCGAAAGCCCAGGCATCCTCCTCCTTCCACTGCAGAGTAGTGGCACATAGGTTTGTAAACTGATTCTCAAGGCCCCGGACGTGGATGGAGTTGAAGTGCTCATCCAACTGGGTCTCACGTGCAAGGATGGCTTCCCGAAAGCAGCAAGCAATCTCCATTGCTAACTCTTCAGTATAAGAAGCAGAGGCCTTTGTATACTTGCCCTCAACAATCACATGGTTGCGGTCGCGAGAGCATCGCCTTGCCAATCTTGTAGTATCCATATGGACGGCCATCATTCTGAAACTTTTCAAGTGTGGAGATCCAAAAGCGCAGGAGTCGCACCTCCTCACACTAACATCTTCTTTTGCCTCTAAAGCTATCCAAGGGGCAAGATAGCGCATCATGCCCATCCAAGGCTGCTCCAGAAGTCCTGGTAGGAGAAGACGGTGACAGAGAGATAGGATAGCTATTGCTCGCAGCGCCAAAACGTTTCCAACTCTTGTCTGCATGCAGGAGGGGTCAAAACCATAGGGCACTTCTCTCGACCTCAGAGGTGGCCTCCTCATCAAGGAAAAAGAGGTGCAGACTGGTTCAACCATCACACTCTTGAGCTGGTAGTTCACCAACATGTGGGTGATCCAGGCAAAGACTCTGGTAAGGCACAGATCAAGCTCCCCGCTGAAAGAGATGTCAATCGGAGCCCCACCACCAAGCCTAGCTGCTGAGCTGCTTTTGACACTCGCGCTGACCCCGCATAGACCTCGATGAAGTCAAACTCAAAAGCTCTCGGCCTTTCAGGAGATACGTGAGCACTTAGAGCAAGCTGGCGCTCATCCTCCTCCTCTAAGCCTTCTTCGGAAATGCCAAGCCTCAACAGCACCATCTCCAAGGGAGTCTTCAGCCGACTGTAGGCACCTTTTGATTTGCAAGCCCTCCAAAAATGTCCGACAAACTCTTCAGGCAGGAGTGCAGATGTGATAGCACCATGAGTATCGGAAGCGTCAGTGGAGAAGATTGTATCCTCAAAAACGGCTGCCAGGTTGGAGACAGCCAAAGGAGCCAGAACCGCAGCAATTGTCAACTCATTTGCCACCTGTCGTGATAGAGGCACAAGCCGAGGATGAGCTGCGTCAACATCAGCGGCCTCAACAACTCTATGGACAGCTGAAAAGATCCCCATCAAAGGCCTCCTGTAGAGCATTACCGAAGTCCAAGCCCCAACAATGCAAAGATGAAGGGCATCAGAAGTATGCGAGAGCTGAGCCAGTTGCAGAGTAGTGGAACTCAAACTGTGTCTCTTTGCAATAGGAGCCCCACAAGTTGCAACGCCTTGAGCAGCTGCACAAGGACCTGAGTTCAGCTCTGCCCCGATGACCTTACTTCTGACTTCGCCACAGACATCCTTGTGGGGAGAACCCAGGATCTTGTTCTTCCGGTATACCTCTTGGCTTTTTGCAAAACAGGAAGCTGCGCGACTTGCATCTGGAGGGGTCTTTCTACTCTCAACTGACAGTGCAAAATAATCATCAATGACCAACCCCTCAAGCAACTGACCTCCTGAAAAAGGGCGGTGAGCTGTAAGGCGCGAATCCTCGTCCAAAAGGCCAGCCGATTTCAAGAGGTTTTCATGGGCTTGTGTAGCAAACTCAACGCCACCATGGTCTCCTTGAAAAAGCGCTCCAAAAGCAATGTAACACTCATCAACAAGAAGGCCAGGAGGAGACTGCTCACCATCATTCCCGGCGCCAAGATCATGCAGCATGTCACCATGCAAATCACGACGTCGCCGAAAGCCCTTAGCTGCTGCCTCGCGCCGGATGAACTCAGCATAGGCATTCAGAGATTCCAAGGACTTTCGAGACAGTGGGGGTCCCACAGAGTTTGCAACTGCCTTTTCATAGCTGACCTTGAACTGGTGGTAGAAATCCTTTCGATCAGTACAAAAGATCCGGATGCACTGACGCCTCGGGTCCAAAAACAGGTCACCAATATCTGCATCGCTCGGCAACATTGAGGACGGCCCTGCCAGTTTATTCTCAGAGAAATTCCGCCCTCTTCTATCACCAATTTGGCGATCGACAGTGATGTCCTTGTAGTTGTTGAAGACACGAGTCAACCAGAAAGGCTTCTGAGGCACCCGGTGAATCAATAGCAAGCCCTGAGCATCCCACAACTTTGCCAGCTCAAGTACATCAGCCGACGCGTCTGTTGTGCCTGGCCACGAACCAGTAGTCGGAATCCGGTCTGCGAGAATGAGGTCCGGGCACCGGTAGGCCATGCAGAGGTCGTCGTCCAGGAATTCTGTTGCATCAAACTCGCCTCTCCCCGACAACTTCAGCCTGGAAGCATCCAGCGAGCGGTATGGACGGAGTTCAGGAATGACATCCGAATCCAGGGGTACTTGGTGGCCTTGAAAACTGTGCGCATAAGGACCACAAGCACCAAGCTTCGTCGCCACACTTGAAAGTTCACTCAGGCGTGCAAGTAATTGAGGGAAACGTCGGCCACTCGCTAAAACCTCGATGGGGCCACAGCAAGGGCCGTCCGCAGCCAAAATGCCCTGAATCTTCTTGTAGATACTCCTGTGCGCAGGAGATGGGCATCTCGTCAACAAACTCTCACAGGGGAACGAGCGCATTCCATCATGGAGGAAGTTCAATGACATCACAATGATATGCAAGGCCCTCTTCAACAAAATCCTCCTCCTTGAACGAAGCGAGAGTCCAGACGGCATCCTGTCAAAAACCCCCGGAAAGGGCACAGGGACAGGGAAGAGCTGCGGGGTCGAAGAAGTAGATCTCCGAGGCAATCTGAGAGAAAAAGCCAAAAATGCAGAGAAAGGAGTTCGCGTCCTCAGAACGTTCGAGGACAATGTAGCACACCAATCCCAAAAAGTAAAGGAACGTGGGACCTTTGAAGCAGCAAAGAGAACATCATCTCCAGGCTTGTCAACATGGTCATCACCTGGTGGAGCACGATGGGAAAGTCTCCTCTGAATTCTGATAGGGTCAGGACCTTCAAAAGCCATCTCGGCGGCCGAGCCCTCCATGCACAACTGAGTCGGTATCACTGCTGCTGCCCCCCATCCGGGGAGGCTTTCGGCCTTCTTGGAAAGCGAGGCTTCCTCTTCGGGGACGGGGGGTTTGATGCTTCTTGCCCCCCCTGACTCTTCTGAGAAGCGGGCTTTCTCACATCTGGCTTCTTGTTGGAGAGCACCTCCAAGTCCTTCAGATACCCCAGAGTGGTCGCCGTCCAGGCAGGAGGGATGAGCGGAGAGAACGGCCTGCTCGTAGAAGTGACTGCTAGAGTCCTCTCCTGAAACATCGTCACCGGGGGCTCTTCGAGGAGGCTTATGAGGTAGGCGACGGACCAGTCTCCATTGTCGTAGTTTGCCTGTTCCACCGCCATAGCTAAGAGTGCCAGATGCTCGCGACAGCCCACCATGTCGTTGTGGGCGGCCGCATCGACAGCATGAGCGATCATCCACTGAACCAGGCCCAAGCTCCTCTGACTGCGGTAGCCCCCCGACTTCTCCAAATACTCTAACAAGGAAACCGTCTCCAGCTCTTCTTCTGACTTTGGAAGGGGTCTTCCCGGCCTGAGTTTCTTGTGAACCTGCTGCATCAGAAGGAGGAAGAAGTTCCCCGTTCGACCTGCCAGCTCCGCCTGCAGCTTTTCCCTCCTCAACACACCTTTCATTGAAGATGTAGTCGTAGAGCTCGACGATAACTCTGCCAGAGGATCCTGCTGAGTCAAATGAGCGACCAGAGCAGTTATAGCTGTGGATTGCTGACTGAGAGCATTCACAATCTGACCTGAGTCTTGGGCACGATCGCCCGTCCCAAGAAGTAGTGCATTCGGCTCTTCGGGAGGAACTGCAGCCACGGTTGAAGCCACCTTGTGGATCTGCGTCTTTGGAGGAGGACCCACAACTTGAAGCATCTTCGGGACGGACAAAGGAGGTCCACCCCCTGAAAGCAGGCCGTCTGACAAAGCCGGAAATTTGACTGCTCTGCCAGTTGGCTGTTCTGAGACACCTTTTGCAGAGGGGGACAATGTGCCAGCCTTCTCGAGAGCATCCTGTCGTACGGTCAGGACTTGCATCTGGCTTGTTATCATGTTCAGCTGCTCCATAATGCTGGCGTTTGTAACCCGCTTCACGGCAGGGGCCTTCTTCTGTCCAGCCTTGGCTGCTGGAGGAGCTTTCACTTCCGGGTCTTCTTGAGCCGAATGAAAAGGAGCCCCACCATCATATCTTTCTGTAATCCATGACTGAACAGCTGGGAGCAATGAAGTCAGCTGCGGAATGGCCTGCACTGCTGTCTCATGAAAAGGCTGTATAGGCGAATCTGAGTCGGTCACAGGGTCATATTCTCGACATCGAGCCAAGACCTCATTGCACATCAATGACCGTGACAGGTCCGCTAAGCCCCAGAGGGATCGCGCTGCCCTCATCCGTCTCCTCCACAAAAGGGACCTCGAACATAGATCCAATGCCAAGCCAACTGGGGAAATCAGCTGGATATTCGCCTTCCACCACCATAGCGTCTTCAAAAAGGCCATGGGGCAAGCACAAAAGAAAGCCATCAGCTCTCGGAATGAGTGGGACACCATAGGCCTCCAAAGGGGCTCCTGCATGCAAAGAGTCCAGGCCGACCACCAGGAGCGAGAAGTCGGCCTCACTCAAAGCCATCCTCACTTGTGAGACCTGCATTGAAACACGGGAGGTGTATCAATGCCAGCCGCCGCGCAAAACACTTGCACTTCTGTCAAAGAAGGAAAACCTTGATGAACTGGACCACAATCACCGCTAGGCAGGACTGCCAGGAGGCTCCTCAGCTCTGACACTCTTCTCACACGCACCGCTCCGTTAAGAGACGGGGCTCGAAGGATCACCCAAATGGTATCCGACAAAGAAGGCAGAGGCTCCACGGGGGTATACTCAGTGTGTGTCGAAACGGCCACCCACGCAGCAAACCCAGCCTTCCAGGCTCGATGAACTCTTTCTTGGGGCTGTCCAACCACCGATGAGATTTTGCTTGATGCTGAAACGAGCAAAGAGTGCGGGATCGTAGGAACACCCTCCTCAACCCCAGTGAAAGACTTTGGCACAGTCCAAGGAACCACAACCGAAGGCTCGACAAGCTCCCAGCCGGCTTGAGTGATGATAGGGACTGTAACCGATGTAGACGATGAGGAAGTCGCTGCAGCCGCTTGTTCAAAGGCAAGGGACAGTCGCTCAACAGCCTGAACTAGACGATCAATGTCCTCACGGGTCACAGGCCTGCTCATCCACGATATTCAGCCAAGCGAGCCCTTCTCACCAGGTGAAGAGGCCGAGCCAACACCTCCGAAACCTCAGGTCCACCTCCAGCAGATGTTGAAGTGCTGATCCGGAAGAAATTCAGGGCCGAAAAGGCCAGAAGAACAAATCCAAGGATCGAAAGCAAGAGGCCAAGACAAATGCCAAGGAAGAGCCAGGGCAAGCAGGAAGAGCTGCAATGGAGGGGACAAGTAAATCTCAAGGAGAGGTCGGAAAGGGTGGCAAAGGACTCAGCGAACTTGACTACCCTATCAATCATGCCTTGAGCACGCAAATGGAAAGACAGATTTAAACATCCATTATATATATATATATATATGAGTGAATGGCCGTTGCAGCAGCAACAGAAAAACATCTGAGGTGGCTTTTTGGAACCACGACTTAGAAAACTCAAGCATACAGTAAATGCTAAGCTTCCTTCATACACAGCAAGGCTCTTTGCACTCGAACTGCAGTCAAGACCACAAATCCCATAATGCTCTTTGGCATTGCGCAGGGAAATCGACACGAGCTCAACCCCTGCCTTCGAGGGTGGTCCGCCGCTTACTTTGGACATCTGCTAGCATCATGCACAAGGCAGTTGACCGACCAGCAAAAAGTTTGCAGGGCCTTAGCGTCAGGGATGCTCAAGAACCGGGGCATCCGATTCACTCAACATCCCTTGCCATGACCTCCTCGGCACGAAGGTCAATTGGCAAATTCTTGACTTCAGGTGGATGCACTTAGCAGAACAATCCAAGCAAGTGCAAGCGCAAGCGTTTCCACCTACCATCCAGCCAAAACCACACCTTTCACGGTGGTGCACAAACGCCCCAAGTAACAAAGACCAGCCTGGGTCACATCTTGGTTGGCGCATCCGGCCTATCAAAAAGCTCTTTCAATTGTCATTCGATGACTGCTTCAGTGCGTGCTGAATGGATCGTCCTCCACTAAGGGCAAACACAGGCTCTGTATCAAGAAGCCAAGAAGCCTATGTGCATCTTGCTGATACACTTTCAAATCCGTCTTTCCTCTATACTTCCACTCAGCCTGCAAATCCCTTCGGACCTGCTGTTCATATCTATCAAATGCACCTTTGCGGCGCAAAGGCAATGCTGCAAAACCGTTCGCTACAGGCTGAGGTGCGGAAATCACCTAGCGGAGAGTCACAGGCCTCCTGAAACATGCAAGCAAGATGGGAATGTGGCTGGCACAAAGTCAGGTCTCTACTCTGATGTAACCGATCTGAACTTGTCGTTGTTTGGGGCCTACTATAAATACAAAAACAAACCCTTCGGCGCTTGGATCCTTTAGTCCACAAACGCTTTTGTGGTGGAATGGGTCGACGCTTGTTGGCAGTGCAATGAACAATTATGTTGCTTGGCGCAATCTGCTTTCGCGGCTTGCATCTTACAGCACAATCGGGCGCTTGCGTGAGGCTCTTTCGCAAGCTTTTGCAGGATCTAATGCTCTGCACACATGCTTACTGGCTCATTGATTTGTTCCACCTTTGTGAAAAGTATTTCATTTGAAAGAAAGAAAACGGTGCTCACCTGCAGGCATAGGCAGACGGTAACAAAAGTACCTATTGAGCTTCAGGATTTGGAGCGTGGTATGCAAGGCACCTGATTCAAGATAAAGATCTTCCTTTGTGGTCAGGCTGAGTCAGGCGTGTATATCTCAAGAAGATTTGAACATCTGGGTAGTTCGGTGTGAAGCCGAGGACTGCTCCGTGCGGCATACAGCCGACATGAAAGGTTCAGCAATTTGTGCAGAAGGAAGGTCAGTCACATGAGCAGTTGAAGCCAACACACTCTTGACAACAACGTTTGCCTTCAGTCATGAAAGCCACCTAGGCAATTGAATGAAGTTCCAGACTTGCTACAGGTCCTGGGTCCTGCCGATGCAGCTGGAGTCAAACTCATGTCCGATGCGCTTTCGACAAAATCAATTGGCGTCTAGAAATGGGTTATTGCGGCAGCTCTTTCTGCTGGTAACATAGAGCTTGGTTCCTCTGCTGACTTGTGCCGCATTTGAGCAGTTGTCCAGCACGCTTCTCTGATGTTCAAGTCTTTGACAGTCAAGAAATATGTGCAATCGGAAGGTGCACAAAAGCCAAGACCCAGTACAAGGCACCTTTGACATCAATGTCTTTCTCTTTCTGGCCAGACGCGCATGTCTCACCAGCTGTGCAGCTGCAGCTGGAGTCAAACTGGGGTCCGATGCACTTTCAACAAATCAACTGGCTGCGTTTTCCTTGCTTAAGTGCATCTCTTGCAAGGTTTTGGTGGCAGCTCTTTCTGCTGGTAACATAGAGCTCGGTCTTCTGACTTTTGCCGCATCTTTAAAAATCAAAAAATATTAGGTGCAATCGGGAGATGTCGCCTTTGACATTGACTTCTTTCTCTTTCTGGCCAGGTGTGCATGTCTCACCAGCTGTGCCCCTGCAGCTGGAGTCAAGCTCGTGTCAGATGCACTTTCAACAAAATCAACTGACTTTGTTTTCTTTGCTTAAGTGCCTCTCTCGTAAGGTTATTGTGGCAACTGAGAGCCACCTACAGCCAGAGTAGCACATAAGGACTTGCATGGAGTTTTTGCTCTGGCATGGTGCAACACACCTTATCTTATTGTCGCTGTTTTTCAATATAATACGGTCCAT